GGAGTATGTGCTCGGGGTGGGAATAAGCAGTCATACAGATCTTGGAGACTGACGCAGGGAAAAGGAAGAGGGAAGACGGACTGGGGAGGAAAAAAGGAAGGAGCCACGGACCCTCACACTGAGTATGTTGGAGTAGACTTGCTCTGCATGACCTCCTACTGATTTCACAGAGGGGATCCAGCAAGAATTAGACTTCAGGTCTTAAGAGAAGAGAGGAAAAGAGAGAATCTGGGGGAAAAGCACCCCCTAGCCTATAATTCTCAGAATCTGGCCCCAGGAAACTCAGGAGACTCTCCCATCAGACCCAGTGTCAGCCCCCTTTTCCCCCCTCACAACTGACCGTGGTTGCTACTGCAGGACAGGCAATGATCTTGGATCCTGGGAAGCCCTCAGCTTTGAGCTACTTCTACTCCCACTGCAGCCTCCCTCCCCCACTCTATTCTGCACCCTCCTTCCCAAAGGGAACCAGGGCAAACGCCACCGTGACACATGCTTCTGATCATCCCTTTCTGAAATATGGAGATAGAGGCATGGAGGTGAAGAGGAGCCTGCCTAGACTCAGGAAGGTGAGCAAGAACGCTACTTCTCCTCCCATCCCAAATCATGGGGAGGAGCCGCTCTGGCTTTGTCCACACCAGTCCAGACTTCTGGCTCCGGGAGAGTGAGGCTGCATGTCCATCCTGCCTCTCCCCGCAGGTCTGGAGACGTCACCACGAGATCAGGATGCTTAGCCTCCAGCCACCACCCTCCTTTGTGGCCCCCGATAGTTCCCTTCCTGCTCCTGCCTTCTCTCCCTCCTTTGCCTTCTCCACCTCTCCTCTCCACACTCTCCCAGCGAGTGGTCCTGGTGGGAGGGTCAAACGGGCACCCACAGCCACACTGCAGGTATCTCTACTCTGCCCAGCCCCCGCCAGCTGAGGAGGTGCCGCCACCCAGTGGGAGCCCACGGGGACTCACAGAACTCTGGGAAGCCATGCCTGCTCCATCCAGCAGCGTCCTCCAGCACCCAGCGTGGGCTGTGCTGCCCACAACCAAGCCCACCCAATGGGGTGTGTCCTTAGTAACTGTCGCCTGCAGGCTGAGCCTTGATGATGGGGCTGTGTGTGTGTGTGTGTGTGTGTGGTGGTTGCGGGGGAGGTTCATTTGGTCATTTATTCAGCAAATACTGAGGGTGCCAAAAAATTGTACACATATTTTAAGCCACGAAAAAAAACTATTAAAATTATAATANAAAAACCCAGAGTGGGGCAGAGGGCTGAATAAGAACATGGTTTCAGCACCCACTGGTGGGCCCCATGGGAGCTTGAGCTGGCATGAAGGCTGGATTTCTGAGCATGTAGGGCTCTTTTGCCCTCACTTCTGCTAAAGACGATGGTAAGAAACTCACAGCCCTCATCCAGCTGATGCCTCCAGGTCCAGCCAGGTTGAGCAGCAAATGAGGGGAAGGCCCAGTGCCACGAGTCCGCTGGCAGGAGACGCTGCGAGCTCGCCAAGCGGACTCTCTATCTGCTCCTTCAGACGATAACAGAACTCCCTCTCCTTCCTGAAGGTGCTGCTTGCTGTCGGTCCTGCCTTGACCACCCAGTTACATCCCAGGGGAGCTCAGGTAGCCTTTCATTTCCCCTTTGCTCTTTGCTTAAGGGCTCCCCCAAGACTTCTGGAGTAGGGGACTGACCAATGCTTCGCTTCCCCTGGCCACCCTTTGATCTCTGAGGTGTGGCTGAGCATTTCTGCCCTCACCACTCTGCTCTGGCCTCTTGGAGATCTAAACACTTAGGTCACCACGGCCACCCTTCCCTGACCCGGTGCTTTCCACCCCACTTTTTCTCTCTCCTGCTGTTCCAACCCACTTGCCCTTACCAGAGACCACGCCCCCCCCCTCGCCCACTTACCATTTCTAGCTGATTGGAAAAGGGCATGAGCTTGGGTGGGGTGGACGGGCCAAAGTCCACCCCGGCCTGGCCCACTAAGTCCCCACTGGACAGTGCCGTGTAGTCAGGGTGGTGGGAGCCCCGGGTCTTCTGGCTGACCTTGATGTAGAAGAAGTCTTCACTCTTTCCCATTTTGGAACTGGACTTGCCATGACCCGAGTCCTGGGAGAAGCCAAACCGAAGCAGCCCGTCTGAGTACCGGTTGAGTTTCTTGAGGTGGGAGGACTTGCGCAGTTTGTACTGCGAAGCCCGGCAGTGCTTGCTATGGAAGCCATGACCGGAGATGAGGCTACTGACGCTGCCCATGGTGACGCGGGGCCGGGGACAGGCAGGGCAGAGCTGGGACTTGGCGTGGCCTTGGCAGCGAGGGACAGGCCTGGCTCCTTGAAGGGATTGCAGTCATAGCAAAAGCCTCGCAGAGCCTGGAAGAGCGCAGACCTGGAAGGAGACACAGGGCAGCAGTCAGACTGGGATGGGCTGGTCACCGCAGTCCTCGGTGGTGACTGGAAGAGAGTTATTCTGACTGCGGGGCCTGGGCCGTGGAGACATGTATATGTCTCTTGACAGAAGCTCAGCCCTGTCTCTGTTCCTAGTCTCTCCATCCTTCCTTTGTCCCAAATTCAACACGCAATGGCTGAGGGCCTGCTTCTGGTCTGAGCACGGGGATGCAACAGTGACTAAGACACTGATCGTCCCTGTGCTTGCGGGCTCGTGTGTAGTGCAGTGTGGACAGGCCATAAACAAACAACATGTACTATCTCAAGTGACCGAGGTGCTGCAGGGAAATAAAGCAGAGTGCATAGGATGGAATTCTGGGGGGTGGTTGTTTATACAGGGAGCAGAAGGGAGGCTTCTCTGTTGGGGTATCATTTGAAGAGACCCCAAGAAGACAAGGGAACAAATCATGTGGAAATCTGGGGGAGAGAGAAGCAGCTGAGAAGCAGCCATGCATGCAAAGTCCTGAGTCTCTGTGGTGGAGTGTGCTTGGCGCATGTGACAACAGGGAGGAAACCAGCCGGCTGGAGACTAGTTAGCAGCAGGGAACAGGAGGGAGGAGGAGAAGTCAGGGGCTAGCAGGCCCCTGCCACACAGTCTGGTGGCCTTAGGGCTTTGACTGTTACTCTAATGGGCTTAATCAAAGACACCTTGATCTGAATGAGGCTGTGGAGGGTCCCTCACTGGGGGGCCTGGGTGAACAGTAGTGTGGGCTAGTTCTGTTAGGTGACTGACTACCAAGGCTGGGCCAGGGTGGTAGCTTTGGATTAAGTTTTAGATATAATTTTAAGGTCCAGCTGACAGGATATGCTAAAGGATCGGACACAGGGAGCAGGAGAGAAGGAGAGGAGTCAAGAATGACTCCACTGATTTTATCCCAGCAACTAGAAGGAGTTAAGTTCCCATTCATTGAGATGCACAGACCACAAAAGGAGCCAGTTTAGGATGAGATGGGGGTGGCGAATAAGAGTTTGGCTGAAAATCTTAAGCGGTGCTGTGGGTAGGCAGTCGGATGGGTGGGAACTGTGGGAGCTGCCGGTTTCCAGGTAAACGTTGTTTGCGTAGAGAAGGCAGCTACGAGACTAGAGGAGGGCACTGAAGAGGCCCATGCAAGAAGACAGGAGAAGTCTGAGGACCGGTTCGCGGGGGCAGGAAGGTGAGGAGTATGAGGCAGAGACACTGAGAAGGCTCCGACTGATGTAGGAGACCTAAGAAAGCGAAGCGGTCTCCTAGGATGGCGTCAGTGCTTCTGAACTAGGGTGATGACTGAGACTTGGTCAGTGGATTTGGCCCTAGGGACGTCATCAGTGGCTTCGGCAAGAGCAGTTTTTGGTAGAGTGGTGGGAAGAAAGGCCTGAGGGGAGAGGGTTCAAGAGAGAACAAAGAGGGAAATAATTGTACCCTTGAACATTAAGAGGTACTTGACTAATGGTTTGGAATCCTAGCTATGCCACCTGCCAGTTGTGACCAGTGAGGTAAACTCTCGAACACCTTTTACCTTCAGTTTCATAAGCTAATTCTAAGACCTACTTAATTTTTTTTAAAGTAATAGGAATGCATCTTATAATAAATGCTGGAAACCATAACAATGACCTTGCCTGTCACCGGATAGCGGAATACGCTGGGACGTCCATGCCGGCACACTTGCAGATTTAGGGAAACCTGTAAGCATAGGTTGCATGATTTTCAAAGCAAGGAAAGGCTCTGTGGTTGTCATGCATCACGGAGGAGTATTTCTCAGTCAGTCAAAAGACAGCAGATCCGATTAAGGAAAAAAAAAATCAAGTTTAATAAACTAGGAAATTGGAAGGAACTCTGTGCTCTTTAGTGTGCTCTATATTACACTGTCAATCCTGAAGGGGCAGAAAAAGGTCCCAGGTGGGTTATGGAGAGTTGTGTGTGCGTGCACAACGGAAGGAGCCAGAGACTCTTCAACCCTGAATGTGAAGCCTTGGGTTCAAACGTGCATTGCTATCCTGAAGGATAAACTGGTTATGTTATGAATACATGTTTCCTGCCTTCCATTAGTAAAAGCACAACACAACAGACATCGTTGTGTAAGTGTAATGTATGTTTTCAGATGAATAGCTTTTATTAAGTTGATGGCCTCTTACAATCAAGGAACCACAGCTGTGCCTACCCCAGAGGATCATTATGAGGAGTGTATTGGGTACCACCATCAGCTAACAGGCCTGGGACGTTGACTGAATGCCTAGCATATAGTAGGCACTCAATTAATGTTGGGCATTTTCATTTGTATCTATTATTATAGCATTACCATTGTTCCCGCCAGCATTTGTCATCCTTCTGTCATCTCCAATGCCCAACCTCATTTTCTAGAANTTCCAGCCTCTCGTGGTAAGTAAACTCAGTTCTGGGGGCCACCAGGCACTGAGATGGGGAGAGAGTGGGAAGCACAGGATAAGTGTGTCCCTGACATGGTGATCAGGGAAGCCCCTTCTTTGGGTCATAAAGCTGGCCCTTTAACCCAGCGTGCCGGGGCAGTGTGTGTCCCCAGGCGGTGCGGAGGGGGCCTGGTACCCCACACCGACCACCCCAAGCCCATGGCCTCACCTCCCACTGGGTCTCCTCCAGTGTGGGGGCGAAGCTGGTTTTCTCCTTCTCGTAGGACCGCAGCTTGGCCTCCAGCATGTCTTGCTCCTTCATGAGGCTCTCGAGCTCCTGCCGCAGCTGCCGCTTCTCTTGCTGGAGCTGGAGCACCTGCAGGTGCAGTGCCTGCTGCGTGCGCTGGCTCTTCTGTGAGGCAGGCTTCAGCTTGCTGCTGCTCTTCTGCTCCGGGCCCTCCAGCTCCTCCTTGCACCGCCGCTGCCGCTCCTCATAGGCCTGGCTGGAGGCCAGCTCCTTGTCCTCAAAGCTGCGTCGCAGCTTCTGTAGCTCACCCTCCCTCTCCAGCAGCTTCTGCTCCAGCTCCTGGATGGTGCCCTCGTCCGTGGAGATGGGCGAGCGGACGCATGAGGAGCCCCTGTCTGCCTTGCTCGGGTGGGCTAGCTTGCTGCCCCCATCGGAGAAGGACAGCGCCTTCAGGCTCATCATGTTACTGTCCTGGAGGAGGATGCCCTGGGTGATGTTGTGGGCTGAGCCCCCAAAACGGCTGGCGGGCCCCACGGCGGGGACCAGTGGGTCCAGCTGGTAGCTGCTGCTGGTGCTGTGTGTGGGCAGGCTGGACATGGAGTTGCGGCCGGAGTCAGACAGCGCCCCGGAGCACAGGCCGGGCTTCAGCTCCTGCTCCTTGGGCTTGTCTGGGGGGGCGGGGTGCAGCTGGTGGCTGGCGCTCTCCGGGGAGGAGTGCAGGATGGCTCCTGACCGCGGCAGCACCGGCTTGAAGGCTGTTGGCCTCATGGCACCCTTCTCTGAGCCCTGGGGAGGAAAAGAACCATGCTGACCCCATGTCTCCCTCCCACCCGGCCACGTGGCACCCTTCTTGGTCGTAGCCATGGGTGACCTCGCCTGGTGCCCTGAAGCAGCATCTCTCTCAAGTAGGAGAAATTCCTCTGTGCCTGGGGGGATGTCCTTAATGATCGTTCATGAATTGCCACCTGTCACCAGCTTGTCCCAGCCTCCCAAGATGATAAACAGCTCCAGCTCTGTCTCTGTGTGGCGCAGCAGGGGCACTGGGCTGGGGGAGCACGGTGTCCCTGTAGAAGTCAACCCCTTGTTCACCTCCACTGCCCCTTTCAGTACGCCAAGAGCAAGGACACCACCGTGACCTCCTAGAAGCCTTGGGAGGATCCCTTCACATAATGACCCTTTTCTTAAAACATTGTCATTTTCATTGGTAGAGCACTTTGCAGTTTACACGCCCTTTAGTTTGAAAGGCTTAAGGCTCTGTGCAAATATGCAGGGCCTCCTCCTAGTCTATCAGAACCAGAGTGGGGGGCTGGCCGAGTGGCTCAGTTGGTTAAGAGTTGGCTTAAGAGCACGAGCTCTGAGCAATAGGGCTGCTGGTTCGATTCCCACATGGGCCAGTGACGCTGCGCCCGAGCTGAGCTGTCATTGAGCTGCCAACAGGTGGCAGGATGGTTCAGCTGGTGTAACAACAATTGTTCGATGGTGGGCTACGCCCACCTGCAACTAAGACTGNTGACCGTGGTTGCTACTGCAGGACAGGCAATGATCTTGGATCCTGGGAAGCCCTCAGCTTTGAGCTACTTCTACTCCCACTGCAGCCTCCCTCCCCCACTCTATTCTGCACCCTCCTTCCCAAAGGGAACCAGGGCAAACGCCACCGTGACACATGCTTCTGATCATCCCTTTCTGAAATATGGAGATAGAGGCATGGAGGTGAAGAGGAGCCTGCCTAGACTCAGGAAGGTGAGCAAGAACGCTACTTCTCCTCCCATCCCAAATCATGGGGAGGAGCCGCTCTGGCTTTGTCCACACCAGTCCAGACTTCTGGCTCCGGGAGAGTGAGGCTGCATGTCCATCCTGCCTCTCCCCGCAGGTCTGGAGACGTCACCACGAGATCAGGATGCTTAGCCTCCAGCCACCACCCTCCTTTGTGGCCCCCGATAGCTCCCTTCCTGCTCCTGCCTTCTCTCCCTCCTTTGCCTTCTCCACCTCTCCTCTCCACACTCTCCCAGCGAGTGGTCCTGGTGGGAGGGTCAAATGGGCACCCACAGCTACACTGCAGGCATCTCTACTCTGCCCAGCCCCCGCCAGCTGAGGAGGTGCCGCCACCCAGTGGGAGCCCACGGGGACTCACAGAACTCTGGGAAGCCATGCCTGCTCCGTCCAGCAGCGTCCTCCAGCACCCAGCGTGGGCTGTGCTGCCCACAACCAAGCCCACCCAATGGGGTGTGTCCTTAGTAACTGTCGCCTGCAGGCTGAGCCTTGATGATGGGGCTGTGTGTGTGTGTGTGTGTGTGTGGTGGTTGCGGGGGAGGTTCATTTGGTCATTTATTCAGCAAATACTGAGGGTGCCAAAAAATTGTACACATATTTTAAGCCACGAAAAAAAACTATTAAAATTATAATACTCAATATATACCAATAACAAAAGATGAATACAAGTCACATTTGACTTCTGCAATTACTAGGGGTGCTCAAAGTGGTTACCATCAGCATAATTTTAATACAATTTTTTCCTTTCTTAAAATGTGTATGCGTTTTTTTGGTGCCCTCTGTCTTTATTCAGCATCTGACAAGGGCCAAGTATGCATAGCGCAGGGGGGGGGAGGAAAGACGGAGAGGAGGAAGCGCATAGAATAAAACACAAAAGCCAAGAGATAGGGAAGAACAGGAGAGTGTATTTCTGTGTGTGCCTGTGCTCACACATATCTCTGTGTGTGTCTATGGCCTGTGTGTGTACATGTGTGTCTGTGGTGTGCACGTCTTGGTGTGTGCATGTGCACATTGACTACTTTAGTGGCCGTGCCCGGGGAAGGCCTCTGAGAAGGTGGCAGTCAGGAAGAGGCCGCCTGGTGAGCTTTTTCCGGTAGAATTGTCCTTCAGGGAGAACTGCAAGCAAAGGCCTGAGGGAGCGCGTGGTGTTTAGAGCCGTGTTTCTCAAGTGGAGTGACTTGGCAAATCTGGAGACAAGACATGTTTGACTGTTATGACAGGTATCTAGTAGATGGAGCACAGGACAGCCCCTGTGACAAAGACAGCCACGATAGCAAAGAATTGTCCGGCCCAAACTGTCAATAGCACTGAGGTTGGAAAAATCTGGTTTCAGAGGAACAAAAGAAAATATATTTAGAACCTCAGTTCTGCCTGCCATGGCCTCGGTGTGACTCTGAACAAGTGACTTAAGCTCTTCTTGCCTCAGTTTCCTCACTTGTGAAGCGGAGGCGACCACACCGGCCCTGTCCCAGGACGTCCCTATGAACATGAAAGGAAGTGAGAGCTTAGCGACTACTTGAAAAAAATCACCAGTGCTGCTTCTTGTTAGTATTATTTCTCATTGTTCTCCAGGCCAGTTCTCTGAGATACTCAATTCTACAATAGACGCCTTATTGTAGGAGCGCCTCAGGCCTGCACTTCCGGAACAGCCTGGCCGGCCACCAGCACTGCCTCAGTGGTCTGAGTACTGCCACCACTTCCCCGTGGTGCCCCTGAACCAGGAGGGACAGATGAGGTGCCAGGTGTAACCTTCCCCCCTTGCTTTGGTACAGAGCCTCGAGCTCTCTCCAGGCTGTTCCCTGCTGTAACATGAGGGGCTAGGTCCAGTTCAGTTCTTCTCTGAAAACTCTTGAGAATCAGATGAGAGCTATTGACCCCTTCTCACAAAAATGTCCCCCCTTCAAGATTTAGCTATAGACTTCCTAAGGTTCTTTGACCCTGAACGCCCCTTGGTTGACTCAGGTTAAAAAGATTAATATATCCTGCTCTGGGGGATCAAACAGGAGCTTTGGGGCACCTGGGAGAAACAAATAACTTGGTCTTAGATTATTGTCTTAACTAATGACTTCCCAGCTTCCCTTTGGGAATTGGGGAGTGAAACTAAAGAAATGATATCACCTCAGTGCAGCCTTCCCCTCCCACTCAGA